ATAGCAACATGCACAGATAAGATTGGACTCTTTATTGAACAGCGTGTGGACTCGTCAGAGAAATCCTCTTGCTCGGTAGATTGTAAAATCATGACATTACCGAATAATCTAGCCGTCATTTGCAGAGGGAATAGGATATAAAAACCAAAAATCGGTTGCCCGTTAGACTCAATTTCAATTCAAAACTTATGAATGTCAGTTTGATTCACCAACACCATTTTTAAGTAATGGATCAGATCAAACAGCAACTTAACCACAAAAACTTGCTTTGAGTTTTAGATCCCTTGTTACCTGAGTTTAATATCTATAAAAGCTTCTGCGATTCGTAAGCAGCAGAATAATTTATAATCGGTCGATACCATATTCTCACTTAATGCCCGCAGGTCACTTACAGAAGAATCTGTATACTGTATGATAATTACATGTTTTCAATAAAACCAGTTTAAAAGTCCTGGCGGAAATTTTACTGACTGAGATGTGCGCTCCTGCCATTTATTAAAAAAATATAACCTGTATTCAGCGCAACAACCTCAATTGTGAGTTTTTGTATAATTATTGCAGTGAAAATAAAATATTGCGCAGTACAGACACAACTTAAAAAGTAGCATTCCCAAAAACAAAATTTCAGCATTTACAATCTGCTAAATCATTTGGAAGCAGCAATTTGACTAGGAATTAACGAATAATTCCAGATTAATTAACAGATGTAATTATTTCAATGATTGTGTTTGATCATTGCTCTGAATGCGTGAATTCATGATTTAAAAAAAGAATGCTAACACTTTACGAAGAGAATCCCTTTATAACATCATTTTCTTCCTAACATTTTTCTAAAACCACACTTACTTGCTTATGCTTTGCGATTCACACTCTTATACAGTATGCGACATATTTTCTATGGAGTTATTCTTTTATTCAGAGGTTTTCTCGAGTTTTTTAGAGTATGTGCAGAATATTGTTTCTTTAGAGTTAGCTTTTTCTTTTTCTATTACGTGCTTGGAGCTGCCGCGGAGCCCCTGGAGAGTGCACGAGCAGCCCCAAGGTCTTTGCGGAGCAGTCCACCCCTTGGATGATAGGGTACGTAACGTTAATTAGGGTATCTTGTTTCTTTCTACCGCGAATGAATACGAAGCCCAATGCTCTCGCAAAAACGCCGAACTGCTAAAACCACCCGCGGAAACGCAGCAACGTGATGGCCCCATTTTCGTCTTGCACAGAAGACACTTCCACAATGCCTCGGAATTCCGCCGTGAACTCGCGCATGTTCGACGGCAGCGACTTGTAAAACTCGACTTCTTGCAGCACCAACGGTTTGCATATCGTGCTTTCGTCCAGCGACAGAATGGACGAATGACCACCGACTTGATGAATAAATGGCTCCAGCTGCAAAAACGAGACGATGGTTTGGAATTTTTTTTTAAACCACGTCAGGAAAGGAGACAAAGGAAATCCGAATCCAAGCGGCAGAAAAATCGCCGTACCAGCTGCAAGCCGACAAGTGCGTTGCAACCACGTCAAAGAGTAAGGCTAAATATTTTGCCTAGAAGAAAAGGGCACGCCACGCAACAAAGCAAAATGAAAAGCACGCGCGCTCGTCACGCAAATACCTGCTCCGTCAGTCCCGATTTCGTTTGGTGTATTTTTGACTCTAGAAAACACCATTTCAAAATTTATTCAGCACTCCGGCGGTGCGAAATTGCAACCCGATCCGCGAAGAACACTCACCTGAATTTCTTCAATGCTTTCCCATTCTTGAGCTACTTCCATGAGCATCTTGAAGGACGTCCAAAAACATAAATACACTGGGGTATAGAACGCGTCGCGTTTCGCACAAGCGTAAAAAAATTCCCGTTCCGATGTTCTGTACATCAAATGTGCACAATTAATTCAATTCTTTGCAATCCGCACTTTCCTCCAAACTAATAAAATACACTTTGTTGTATACAAATGCAGATAAACATGCAGTTTTGTTTTCGTTTCTGCTTCACTCCTTTGGACACCATCACATGCATCCCCCGCCATTTCATCTAGATATGAAGACAGCCGAGAACCCGGCTTAGTTCCGGAAATGAGAACCTCATCCACTTGATAATCACGATAAAACTCAGATCAACAGGCTATGATATCCAAATTTGTCCGAAACATTTCAATTGATCATCGGTCCAGGTTTCCAGGACGAACGAGGACTAAAGCACATTGCTGCTCAAACCAGTCCAGTTGATCGTTATCTTAGGCGAAAATGAATCACAGCCTTGCGCACACTTCCTTTTTCCCTAGAATTATTCGCCGAGTCACTACAGAGTCCAAGCATCCAGTTTTTCTCCAGATTGTTTTGCTCCGCGTCCCGATTATTTTGGATAATAAGAGGTTTACTGTAATTCAATTTCTTCGTCTGTCGCGATCCTCGGTTTCAGTCTGGATCGAGTATCTGATGATGGGGGAAGTTCCAGGTGGGTCTCATTGCGTATGGAACGGGTGCCGCGCTCGACTCATCACCCAGCTTCGGGTTCGCGTCGCGGAACCAGACTGCGAGGCAGCAAGCCCGGGTCTTCGACTTGTAAACCCACTAGTTGCAACTATTTTTTCCCCTCTGCCCAGCGAGCGCGCTATCACTCCAAACGCGGCGACCCAACACGCCTCGCCGAGGCGCATGAGCAATGACTAATCTCTCCAACTCATCCACGGTTTCGCGTGTCGTGTTGAGCGATTCCGCCGGAATCAATGCGCAAATTGATGCGACGTCCTTCGAAACCAGTAAACCACCACCATCACCTGGGTTTACGGTAGCAGACCGGACTGCACAACTGAGCACCAGCCAACTGATCACAGGTGGCCTCTCTCTGCAACGAAATCCAAGCGACCAGAAAAAAAATTCGTTGTGGAGAGCATTATGTTGTAAAAAATCCCTATAACATGGGTAGACGACCCTTTGGGACCAAACAAAAAGTCGTTATGCAGAGAAAATAGTTGGAGAGAGAGCTGGAGTCCACTTGCATTCCAAAAAAAAATGTAGCTTTTGCAGAATGGGTTGCCTGTGGAGATGCAGAATTGAGCTCCAGGAAAAGCATTGATGAGATTCACGGGAGAGTTCTTCGCGGATCGGTTTGCAGTTTCGACTCGGTGGAGCGCGGCATAAATTTTGAAATGGTGTTTTCGAGGGTAAAAAAAATGTGTACACCGAACCAACGCCAACTCGTTCAATACTTCCCTTGCGTTCTGTACAAGGAATTGTATCACTCACTAAGCTTCTAAGCATCCACGAACAGAGTATTTTGATAGCAAATACTTCTTCTTTCTTTGGATGTGTGCATGACAACAACAGCAATTCGTCGCAGTGCGGCCAGGTTGCTGGCTTACGCGCCACGAAAAGGGTACACTGATGTCCGATTCCAGTTAGCATAGCTAGGATTAAGAGAGGCTAAAATTCGGGAATAAAATAGCTGCATGATTACACTGTACAGGAAATGTTTTCCTGATCGTATTGCTGTGAAATCTGTTTGACGCCAATTAGAGCGGTCAGATCATTTACCAATTTTTCAGTTTCGGATGTTCAGTTTGACCTGGGTGCAAATCGGAACTCAGATGTCCTCAGGTTTTTCATGGGCAGACGACAACTTTAAACGACACTGGAAACAGTGCGTGCCGTCGCGAGTTTGCTGGAAAATTGAGATACGCTCGTCGACGCATTTCGCTGAACATAATCGAATGAAATTGCTGAAATTATCTCGTCTGTTTCACCATATTGCTTCCGCGCGAATCTAGGTTAATCGCTCCTTTTGCAGAAATACGGTATATATTTAATTCAGTTAGAGTCAAGGCCAAGAGAGCAATTGGTTCTCCCAGCATTCGTTATTCTGTAGACGTAAAATTGATCGAAGCCTTTAGGTATCAATGCTTCAAATTCTAAAGATGATCTTTGAAATTGAAGGAACTGAAATTTGGTGACAAGTTTGATAAAACGACGCTGTAAAATGACAAGCACGCGAGCTTTGCATGACCTAAAAAGATACCTGATACCTCAGATGAATGAAGGTCAGAAGCGTAGAAGTCATTTTTCTGATTTCTATCCGTAAAATATGTGTTTCACATATTCCGAGAAAGTTATTCAATACTACGCATATATAGGTTTTCATTCTGCCTGAAACAAAGGCTTGAATCATCTTTCTGGCAAAATATCGTTAAAATATTTTTTTTAACTGGGCAGCACTAACTTTTCCATTTAACCAATGAATGTATCGGGGTCGAATCCTGATAATAACCTGCTAAGAATTCGGATTCGTCCACTATCACGAAAGACATCGAGTAGAAATCCTAAGAAACTTGAAGGACCCGTACTAATGATGAATACAGTAATATAGTTCATGCACTCGTACTTCGGCATTTAAAAATTCATTCCTTCGCTGGTAACGTGCTCATCGCTGCCAATAGACCTTGAAACTCATTTATATTTAAAACTTGTTTCCATGTACCGCATATACGATAAAAAAAACTTAAAGGAAGCAGCAACACCTTCGAGCCCTCCCACAGTTGCATGTCATCGTCCAGAATTTTATCTACCTTTTCCAAAATGTATGCATGGTGCTGATACAGTAGTCGATGCAAAAACCTTGCTCAGTCCCAGAATCGGACTTCCACCATTTTCGAAAAGCTTCAGCTCAAGATGAAGTTTCGCGATTAACCTTGGCCTTGCTCACAGAAGGCCATGGAAACTTTGAGAAATATAAACATTGTATTCAAAGATAGAGAACATTTTCATCAAAATCAGCATTTTGGTTGCATCATTGCGTACAGTTATATCGGCTTAGAGGATATCTCTCGAGTTCTCGAAAGGTTTGCATCATTGCCAACGCGGACTTCTTTCGCGAAAGAACTCGATTCTTTAAATCAACACATATTGCACGGGTTTTCAACGATTTGAGACTGCCCTGGAGTCTAGGAATTACTTGAATAGTTTCAAATAAATCGGCGGGCATGTAATCATTGAAGAATCGTAGGCATGAGGCTAATTCATACCTTTCATGACGTGTCTACAGAGTATAAGGTAGAAAAACTGCAGCGATGCTCACACGCGATGTCGAAATCAGCCGAGGCGTACATGGTATGAGGTAATCGCGTATCCACGAGAATATTTTAATCAGTTAAAGTACCATGTGACGAAGTTCCGGAGAGAAAGTTTCAAAATTCATGAAACTCGAATAAATACACCCGTTTTCTCCTCAATATTACATCGGTACAGTGTAGTGACAAATGGAGATGTCCAAGCTGGTTGGTGTATCTGTTGAACCGCTGATATTATCACGTGAAGAAGAAAAAAGAACGAGAAATTAAAGCTCACTTAGTTTACTTTCGAGTGTTGTTTGAAACTTTTACTGCGTGGATATCATGAACATCCACGTTAAAAAATACCCCTATGGAAATAGTTACCATAAACTTTCTCACGATGTTTGAACGGCGGATTAGTACATTATCACGACACAGCAAAGTGGGTAAATTTTTAGTTGATGGGGTTCAAGTTTTTGAGGACTACTTCTGCATATATCTTCTGAATGTCATCGTTGCAGATGTACGATTAAAATTAGTACTGTACTGGGAATTTTATTGGGATTCATCCCTTGCCTAAAATAATTCAATAAAATATGCCCCACACGGTGAGCATCGAGAAACTAAAGCGTTGCCTTCGGGCTTTCTTGGGCCATGATGAAAGCCCTGCTTGGCACAAAGGGGATTGCGATGGCCAGTTCCGAGAAACCTCATTCTGGTGAGGGGAAAGTATCCAGGTCGGACTTCCCTCAAGAAATTCTAGAGAAAAATGGCGCAAGCAGTGAGCTAGTTCGCCCAACCTTGCGTCAAAAGTGGCTTCCACGAACCGCATCTGATCTGTTTTCCCGCGGCACGCGCCGCAATGATTATCGCCGCTTGTGATTCATTCAACCACCTACAAGGTTACCTGGAAGCCCGTTGCGTCATGACGTCCGTCCATCCTGAAGCGGATCGTATTGGATTTTCGATCACCCGCGGAAACACGCACCGGGCGTTTCGACGTGATCCTCTGCCCTCCACTCCCGCACCTAAAGTGGATAATACCCCACCGTGATTCCCTATAAAATAAATGCACATAATATACTGTAAATGCATAAATGGAGCGCTAAATATGTACCCATTACGCAGGCTTATCGAGAATGCACATGAAGAGAAGAGTTCCTAGAAAACGACTGAGATTGAATTTCATTCGACGAATGCACACAGCTATAAAAATTCCGTATGTAGGGGATACAATATTAGTCGGCACAAATCCCCCACCCGCGAATGTTCTGGTGCAGGATCGGTTGCGGCCTATTCTCAATATTTGAGTATATAAGTTGGTTTGGACTCTCATCCATGCATATTTCATCTGTATAACGTACTGTGTGTGGTAAGAGTAGTAAGAAGTTGTCATGAAAAAATTCAGTCACATACATTTCGAATGCGATAGATGGGTCAGTATATGATGCGGGTTATCTGGAATCGTAGTCTCCAATTGGCATAAAATTAATGGGAGATTAGGTGGCTGTAGTTGTGTATAAACCACAAATTTCGTAGAAAAAATTATCCAATTTTTGCAATCTATGCATTTTATCGTCGGAAGTCGATTCCCAAAATCAGAGTGCATTCTGTTGTCTCACGCGGGCTGTGATCAAGAAAATGCGGAACTGAATGATGTCATGATGTGCTCGCTGTTTGTGGTGACCAGCCCGCATATACCTTCGCATACCAAGAAAAAGAATCGTTATAGTTGCTATTTTTTCTTCTTTCCTATAATTATTATACTATGCACCAGTTATGCGTTATTTCGAGGAAGGGGACGGGGAAGACCTTTACGCAGAGCACCGTCTAATACATTCTAACCTACATCACAGCACAACGTAAATCCGACAGGGGCTTTCAAAAGTTGTGCTTCGTCTTGTGCTTCGAGGCGTTTCAATCTATTACTGTTCTAGATTTACCGATTTTCAAGATAAGGCGTGTTTTGAATATCACTTCTTGGGAACCTATAAAGGCTCAAACTCGGTTAAATGATAAGCTGGAGTCGTGTATGCTTACAACATTATACAATGTCCATTTATCATCGAATATCAGATTCAACTTCTCTTTGAAAATGTGTCTTTCAAATGCGTTTCCATAGAATTTCACACCTAATTTAGACGTCTTCAGCTTTCGCCTTACTTCTTCGAAAGCCGAGCTTTACTTCAGAAACATTTCGCGCAAAACCTGACAGGGTGCCCATGCATATATCACCACTGATGCATGCACCACTTGAAACATTGTGCTAGAGACTAACGATCAATAGCGCAACGTCTAATTCACTGAATTCGATTCAAAATGCAAGCGAAAGCCAGCTTTATAATTTTTCGTACGCATTGCTGCTGCTTTCTTTGCTTTGCCGCAGTTCAAGGGAGTCCAAGCAGCAATGGAAAATTCCGTTTGTGACGTCGTGATCTCGAAACCAAATCGCGGGAGTCACGAGCAAATCTTCGGATTTCAGGATTTGAATGGACGATTCTCTCTCTATACTTGACTGGCCGGTCAACTTTTCAACTGAATTGACTCCCTCTAACTTTGCCGAATGCAACTGACCAATCAATC